ACTACAATTTTCTGCTATATTATACATAATATAGTATGAATATATGAGTATACATATACATCATTTAAATATAACTAATAGAATTCTCAATTCATTTCTCTATATCTACTACTGAATGGTATGTTTGTAATAATAGCAATAGTCATCAGCATACTTCTATTTCATTTTATATAATTATATTCTAAGTTTTACTTTTGAAATCTATGTATATTTATACTAATTCTAAAGATTATATCATCATATTTTTACATTGGATGTGGAAGCGCTTTGGTGAATAAAATATTTGAGTACAAAAATTATTTGATGATTCTTGTATTTTTACATAAATAACACACACCTACTATGTTAGTTTGCCATCTGCTCCCACACACCTATCCCTTTCAGGTATTTTTTAAAAACATGCTTTGTTAATAGCAGAAACATGCAAGAGATAAATGATGTAGCAGTGCCTATGACAACAGCTCTGAGACGTAAGGACTGGTTGGCAAACAAGTATAGAAGGTGTATGTTCTATTTGTGTAAAACCATTTCTTCCTTCTAACTTTGTTAGTTAAATTAATTTCCAATTTCAAACCAGTTTCCACTTATATAACAGGTTCGCTCATGTTTAGCTTTGGCTACATGCATAAATATGTACACACATACACATACTAATGATCATGAACATGGCCCATGACTGAGCAGTTTTATTGTGTTGTACATAAGGTAGATATAAGATGGAGCTGACTCATATCACACACCACCGGGGAATTCTTGGTGATCTAGTAAAAGATAGGCTGTTGATCATAAGCGCCTGTTCTTTGCCACTGAAGTTGTAGTCTCCTACAGAAGGGTATATGAAATCTATTTTTACATAGAAAACATTAAAGAAGGACATGAAGAGGTTAATGTTGAACTTATGTGAATGGTGGAATTCTAGGGAATTTTTACTTTCATAATTTTCTGCATTTCCAAATTAGCACCAAAAGATGTAGTTTATTCTTATTCAAACATCATATTATATTTTATTCCATAAAATTTATTATGTTATATGTTCTTTTCAAGCTGACTCAATTAGAAATGTTTTAGAGTTTTCTAAAACGTGCTGTACAGATTAAAGAGTGAGCAAGAGTGAGCAGACGTATCTAAAAGATGATTTCTTAGCGGCTTAGCATCATGAAGGAGTTCTGGTGGCAGGGTGGTTATAAGTTACGATGCTTAAGGACCGCATTTTTAAACCACCAGCCACTC